AAGTGATAATGAAATAACGTTTGCGGCATTTAAAGAAGCTCTGTAAAAACTTTAAGAAATATTGTAAGAAAGGAAAACAGGTGTGGACAGGTTTGTCAAAAGGCAATAGGAACTGTAGGAAATGTGTAACTAAAAAGTTTAATTCGGATGATTGTCAGAATGGCTGATGGAAGTCCTAAAAATGAGAAATTTTGTAAAGTGGAAATGTTTATCTATTTTTCTTTTGGTGAAAATTAATAAAAAATATTATAAAAAAAAAAATAAAGAATGGCAGGTTCACCACACTGGCGGAGGAAGAGGAGTTCGGGGGGAGCACACTGCCCTGGCAGCACGATCCTGGTAGGGTGCCAACGCGGCTGCCCCCCTGCCCGCACTGGGTGCATGCCCCTGGGGTGCACGCCAGCCCCGCCCCGCCCCGCCTCCCCCCGGTGCCGGAGCATGAAGCTCTGCCACTGGTTCCCCATTCCATACAGAAGCTCCAAAGTCAAATCTTTCCTCAGCCGTAAAATTTCCATTGCGTCTTTGGACAAATCACTGTCTCTCAGCCTTACTCTCTGTCATAGGATTATACTGATAAATGAGACAAAAATAGCCAAGTATTGTGTACACTGAAAAGTGCTATAGAAACAAGAAACAATTATGTTATGAATCATTTCACCACAGTACTCTCTATCTGAAGAAAAATTAGCTGTGTCACCGATTGGAGATAACATCATTGGAGATTTTGCCTTGAGCTGTTATGTGGTAGAAATCTGTCATTCTTCACTGCAGCAATGTTCTCGGTCACAATGAATAAAATTCCCTGCCACATATTTTCCAGTATTTGTACCATTGATCATTTCTATGGAAGGTTTTTGTCTTGAGTTGTTCCGTGATCGGCCACAATTCTGCTGCTCTCCAAAGAGCGCTGTGACTTGTCCCACAATATAGAGTGCTTTCCTTGTCTGAAACCCTGGAGAGATGCTTCCAGTCAGTGCAGACAATACTGATCTAGATGGACTGTTGATCTGACTCAGTATCCTATCCTGACTGCAGGGGCAGAGGAACGGGGTGCAGTGGGGGCAGGCTGCCCCGGGTGTCTTTGCTGAGGGGGGTGACATTTGGTGTGCCGCCTGCCCGCGACTCCCAGGCCTACCCCAAACTGTTGGGGTAAGGGGGGGAGCTGCACCGCTTTGCCGGCAGCATTCCCCCTCCCCCTTTGTTTTGACAGGTCGGGGGAGGCTTGGGAGTTGCGGGTGGGTGGTGCACTGAATGTCTGTCATCGGTGGCTCCGCCCCCATGGGCAGCTTGCTCCGCTCCCGGCTGCAGGGTGCGCAAACCGCTCCGTGTACCCGAGTAGCTATCCCGCGCCTGGGAGGGCACCCTCCCCACCCCTTGGGAGTGCTCCCACCCTGGGCAGCGTGGGTATATGCTCCGCTGCTGCCTAACTATCAGAATCATTGTCAGCGCTCACCTATATTCAGATGCTGAGCAGGAGGCAGGAGCTGAGCCAGCAAAGAGAATTGGTAATCAGACTGAGAGAACAAGATGGGATCCAGACACAGAAAAGGCCACCCGCAAAAGCCCAGCCTGAACTGAAAGCTTTGACAGCCCTCCATTGGACTGTGGGTGTTCTTTGATGGTGGTGGATTACTCTCTTTGTTTTGCGTTTCTGCCAATAAGAGTGGCTGGTGCCCATTGTCAACAGTAGGGTGGGAAGGCGAAGGCAGAAATCCCAAACAGCAGGTGAAGCCGGAGCTAACGACTGAGTTCTACAAGAGTAGGTAAAAGCAAAGGTAAAGGGACCCCTGGACAGTTAAGTCCAGTCAAAGGCGACTATGGGGTTGCAGTGCTCATCTTGCTTTCAGGGCAAGGGAGCCGGTGTTTGTCCACAGGCAGCTTTCCGGGTCATGTGGCCAGCATGACTAAACCGCTTCTGGCGCAACAGGCCACCGTGACGGAAACCAGAGTGCAGGGAAATGCCGTTTACCTCCCTGCCACAGTGGTACCTATTTATCTATTTGCACTGGTATCCTTTTGAACTGCTAGGTTGCCAGGAGGTGGGACAGAGCAATGGGAGCTCACCCTGTCATGGGGATTCGAACCGCCGACTTTCTGATCAGCAAGGCCAAGAGGATCAGTGGTTTAGACCACAGTGCCACCCTTTACCTTTACCTTTTAGCTTCTACAAGAGTAACACTGAGACTACTGAGGAAGAAGATGACAGGCATGCAATGTTACCCCTCAGACTGATGGTAAGTAAAAAAAAGCAGGCTGGCTGGTTCAGGTCAGACAGGATGGTGTGGTGGTGACACATTTGCCCTCATTGAACAGCTTCCACAGACTCCTGCACACCTTGGGCTTTACCTGAGTATTCTGATCCTCCCTCTTGATTTTCCGTGATCCCTCCAGTTTTGTGGGCACTCAACCACCTTGGCTCACTATTAGAGGGAATAAAGTTAGTTATGGCAGTGCTTTCCTACCTCCTACTATTTATTGGAGGCCCTCATCATCAGTTGGAGAAAAGATGGATTATTCTGCTAGATTGTGATTCTGAATTTGCATTATATTTCTCTTTGTTGTATGTGCAATCCTTTTAAACATTCCACTCTCTATATGTCAAACTTAAGTCATATGAATGAATCAGTGTCTCATTTCCATACAACCTTGGCACAGCTGAGGCATATAAAATATATTTGTGGGCACATTCTTTTTCATTGCATTCTCAGGTATCCTGAATCAAACTGTTTAGCTCTTTTATTATCTAAGAAAATAGTAGAGATCTAATGGAAAGGAGAAAGGGAAGGGGAAGCCAGGCTTATTATATGTTGTGGGTGCCAGATTTCCCTAAATTCCTGGATTTGGTAAGTGTTAGAACTTAATCAGAGCTTGGAGGGTTAAAGTGAAAGTCAGACTCTTAATAGCTGGACTCAGCTTCATGTGTTCAGGAGATCACCTGAGAGATGGGCCATTAACACAGAACAAAGAGAGGGAGATAATACTTATTGGAGTGTTAATGCTATGAGCCTCTCCATCGCAGGCTCAGGTTGTATATGTGTTTGAATAAACCAGAAAGCATAAAGACACCACCGTATCTGCTGTGCCTCATTGCCAAAAGAAACATGAACCCTGGGTAATTGCCTGGAACTCCTGGAATCTTGCACCGCTCAGAGATCGGGGTGGCATCTCACAATACAAATCTAATGGCGTTCGCACCTGAAGCTGGAGAATGAAATAGTTAATTTCATTAGAATTCCAATTTTCCTTTCAATTAATACATCTAAATGCCACACTGTGAACGAATATAAAAAGAGACTCCAAATATACCACCTTTTGCTATAAAAGGAGGCATATTGGCCCATAATTTTATATTGTCTATAAATGGTAAAATCTATGTGGCACTAAAGTCTTTAAATGTACTTACCGGTGCATGCCCAGTTTCCTTTGACTTTCAAAGCAATGACCCTCATCTCCAGTGGAATGTTTCTATAATATGTGGATTGCTACAGAAGACTGTCAGAGGTATGGGAGACAATGAGCTGCTTTGAAGTATTGAGGAGGAACACTGGGAAGAAGAAGCTGAGCATGATTTTGTCCTAGTGAGCAGTAGCCTTTGAAGGTGTTGGTGTTAGAATATACAGCTGCTATTTAGCATTTAGAGGAGGAGCAAAAAGCTTGGATCAGGAGAGCACCATTGGTTGCTGAAGGCATATCTTGCATAAATGGAAGCAAGACCAAACTGGACATAGACACCTTGCATAGACTAGTGTGGTGTAGTGGTTAGAGTATTGGACTAGGACCTGGGAGACCAGGGTTCAAATCCCCACTTGGCTGTGAGGCTCGCTGGATGACCTTGGGCTGGTCACTGCCTCTCAGCCTAACCTACTTCATGGGGTTGTTGTGTAAGGTTACCAGACGTGCCCGTTTCCCAGGGACAGTCCCCGGATTTACAAATCAGTCCCCTGACAAAATCCATCTATTTAGCAGGAAGTTGAAAAGTGTCCCCAGATTCATTGAAAAAAATCTGGTAACCTTATATATTGTGGGGATTAAATGAGGAGGGGGAGAACCAAATATGCCCCCTTGAGGTCCTAGGGGGGAAAGGTGGGATACAAATGAAGTAAATAAAATAAACAATGAGATCAGGGATGTTTTTAGCACACCGTTAGAAACAGAATATGGAGTTGGAAACACATTTGAGCAGTTGGAAAGCTGATAATGTGAATGAAAAATGAAAAAAATGAAAATGAAAAAAATGAAAAAATGATACTTTTTTGATGCTTGCAAAAATACTTTTGTATAGATTAGCCTACCCAGATATACATAACATGTGGATGTATGTTTTAATCTGCTTTTAGCTTATTGCTGATTTTAATTTCTGTGGTGCTCGTTCACTATTAAGGGTATTTAGGATTTCAGCCTAAATGGAGGAGAAAACACACACGCAAATTTTTTATTTGACACATTTTTGTTAACCTTCATAAAATATAGATTTGAAAACAAAGACTCTCCTTTGCAGAAAAATGGTGCCCATGCAGGACTATTATTTTATTTGTGCTATTAGCATTTTGGTCTGCATCAATATGTCTTTCATTAACTATTTTTGAGTCAGAATATGCAGTTCTGATCTAAAATATGTTTCTTGGCCTTCCTGTTGGGAACCAGCTTGCACACCTAAAAAAAGCCATATTTTCATCAATTATGTTTTGTGATGCACCTACTACTGACTAATGAATGATAGGCTAAGAATTTCCTGTTAAACCCTTTTTAAAAAGAGGTGTTTCCAAGCAGGTGAATGCATTTCCCTTTTTTTCCCTCCCAGGCCATATTTTATCAATATTCTTGGTCATATTGTACCAGTATGAAATATTAAACTCTCTGAAGTAAGGCAAGCTAATGGGATATTGTCCAAGAGAGTCATGCCTGCATCTAAATAAATTAGTTGTATATGTTTTTTTCAGTTTTCTCTCGGACCAAGCAAGCTGATAAAATAGTATTATGGTTATTACTATCCTTTCTTCATCTCTGTAACTCAGTCAATAAGAGCATGAGACTCTAAATCTCCGGGTCATGGGTTTGAGCCTCACATGTCAGGGATGGGCTGGATGGGAAGTGGTGGGGGGCTCCAACCAGAAAACCCCCTAGGGAAGCATCAGAGGAGGAAGGATCAGAGTCAGGGCGGGGCACACGGAAGGCAGGTCAGAGGATGAAGTGGGGACAGAATGATTGGATCCTGAACAAGCAACAGGCTTGAGTGAGAGAAAGGAACCAGAGGCAGAAAGCACTGCAGACACGGGGCAGGCAGCTGACATGGAATAAACCAGGCATGTCCGAAGTCCATTTCAAGGGCCTAATCTGGCTCGCCCGTCGATTTAATCTGGCCTCCATGGCAGTATATATTCTTGGGTAAAATCCCCCCCCCCCAAAGCTAAACAACTTTGGGGTAAACTTCAATCCTAAAAAAAGCCAACAACTTTGGTCGACCCTCACACATGTTCATTTCATCAAATCTGGCCCTCTTTGAAAAAAGTTTGGGCACCCCTGGAGTAAACCAGCCAAGTTCCATGAAATTTTTTAAAAATTCTATGTTTGCCTGGCAGTTGCAAAAGTTTGGGAAAACAATGGCATTCTAACAGCACAACCTAAATCTACTAACAGCACAGCCCACAACATGGGTTTACTCAGAAACTAATCCCATTGAGTTCAATGGAGCTTACTCCTGAGTAAGTGGGCATAGGAGTGCCAAGGACATGTTTCGCATATGGCATAATGGGCAGGTTGGCAGTGTGCTGGTAAGATTGATTTTTAAATCCAGCCCTACAGTACAACAGCTGTGTAGAAATAGTATGTATACACGTTCTGATTAGTTGAAAGTCACACTGGTCAGACTTCAAGCCACCTGCTGTTGCAGGAGAATTAATGGTTCTTGACATGAACATATCATCAAGTGTCAATCTCCATTAGTATGTAATGGACTCCTTCACTGGAAAGAGCTAAGGAAATAATTTGTGTTGAATAAGATGAAGCAGCAGCAGCAGTAGCATTAATAGTACAAACAGACCAAATCACAAAAGAGCTAAGAATAGCACACACATTAATTAAGAGCACAGCCCTAACCTATGAGAGAAGGAATGGAAACAAATAGAAATGAACATCAATTTACTCTTGAAACATGCATTTTTTAAAAAAAATACTCTGATTATCATGAGTAACATTTCATTTTTCCTAAGTTTGATAATTGCATAACAGTATTTGAAACGGAGTTGCTGGATGTTCTGCGATAGAGACAGGTGTACAGTGGTACCTCGGGTTACGAACTTAATTTGTTCTGGAGGTCCGTTCTTAACCTGAAACTGTTCTTAATCTGAGGTGCCATTTTAGCTAATGGGGCCTCCCGCTGCTGCCGTGCGATTTCTTTTCTCATCCTGAGGTAAAGTTCTCAACCCGAGGTACTATTTCCAGGTTAGCGGAGTCTGTAACCCAAAGTGTTTGTAACCTGAGGTGTTTGTAACCTGAGGTGTCACTGTAGTTCAAAAGACAGCGAACTGTTGGAGAAATCAAACAAAAAAAGCCACATACATGTTTACATTATTATGTTCCCGTTGTGCGAAGGGGAGGAAACATGAAACACCCCATATTCCCGATCTACCATTGTTTCATTTGCCTCAGAGTATTAGTTAGTCTGTCCGTAAGTAGCACAGAAAAAAAAGGAATGGATGGATTGCATCAAAGGCTCATGCACATAATGATACATAAAATAAATTGTCGTGACTCAACCTACTGATTAAATGCAGTTAACAAGCAAAAAAGTGAATCACATTTTTAATTCTTCTGATCGCATCTAGGAAACGAGGCAGAGCCAGGGATTAACAGGCTAACAAAAAAGAACCTGCCCATATTATGCAAATGTCATCCAAAACAGATGATACTGTTACAAACAATGCAAAACGGATCTGTAACTTGTTTAAATTAGATTATATTTCACACCAAAAAACGAGGCAATAAAAATGAGCACTTGTGTTTTCCCAGCTGCTGCTGCTACCAGCAATGCTGTCAAGGAGGGAAGGGAAGGAAATCAGATGGATTTAATTAGCTATTAATTGAGATTGCTACACTTAATATAAGACATTAAAACAAAGAGTTTGCAGCGTGGGCTTAGAACTTTAGAAGAATGAGGGAGGGACTGTGCTTGTGCCATCTGGGTTTCCTATTCCCTCCTTTTCCCACCTAAAAAAAAGCTGCACCTAAGGGTCAGGAGTATAGGGATGTGGGTGGCGCTGTGGTCTAAACCACGGAGCTTAGGGCTTGCCGATCAGAAGGTCAGCGGTTCGAATCCCCGCGACGGGGTGAGCTCCCGTTGCTCGGTCCCTGCTCCTGCCAGCCTAGCAGTTCAAAAGCACGAAGTGCAAGTAGATAAATAGATACCCCTCCAGCGGGAAGGTAAACGGCGTTTCCGTGCGCTGCTCTGGTTCACCAGAAGCGGCTTAGTCATGCTGGCCACGTGACCCGGAAGCTGTCTGCGGACAAATGCTGGCTCCCTTGGCCAATAAAGCGAGATGAGCGCCACAACCCCAGTCGTCCGCGACTGGACCTAACAGTCAGGGGTCCCTTTACCTTTAAGGGTCAGGAGAAGTTCCAGAATGGAAGGGAGGGGACTTAGTGGAAATTTGGGAGAGGGTAGCAATGTTGTGTGTGGGGAAAAGTCTTTCTGCTAGAGCAAGACAGCTTTGGATCCATGCCATTGTTGCGGCAAACTTCACATTGGAGTAGAAAATGAACAACCGACTGTATTAGGGTCACAGGCAGGATCAAATACGTTAAAACATGTTAAAATAATACATATAAATGTACTGAGGAACCATCTGCTTTCTACTTTGTTTTGAATGTGGAAGGAATATAGCTACCTTATCAGTGAAATAAATAGTCCTCAATTGGTCAAAAAGGGACCAACATTTCTTCAAGGCAGAGTTCTTTCAGGAACAGAGGGTGAAACGGATGGCATTGCAATTTAATGTTCAACAGCACTGCACAAGCTATGTTGAGAAGCCACTTGATCATGGATTGCGTGTGTGTGTGTGTGTGTGTGTGTGATTGATTGATTGATTGATTGATTGTATTCTACCAACTTACCGTATATGTTTAAAAATCCCCCTTTAATTAAAAAAAAATCAAAAAGTAAAATCCTTGTTTGAAACTGAAATACATATACATTTTGAAATACACATGCATGTGCTTGAAACACATATGAATTTCCCTTTACTTGCCATTAGCAGCAGTTGTCTGTAACTTCTGTTTTTCCCCCAGTATTAGAGTTGCCATTTGTCCAGAATTTCCCGGATTTGGTTGTCAGAAAGTGTCCGGGTGGAAATAGCTTAAATGTCTGGGAAAATCCAGACATATGGCAAGTCCGTGTTGGAAGAGTAAAGGTAAAAGGTACCCCTGCCCATACGGGCCAGTCGTGTCCGACTCTAGGGTTGTGCACTCATTTCACTTAAGAGGCCGGGAGCCAGCGCTGTCTGAAGACACTTCCGAGTCACGTGGCCAGCGTGACGAAGCTGCTCTGGCGAGCCGGCACCAGCGCAGCACACGGAAACGCCGTTTACCTTCCCGCTATACAGCGGTACCTATTTATCTACTTGCACTTAGGGGTGCTTTCGAACTGCTAGGTGGGCAGGAGCTGGGACCGAAAGACGGGAGCTCACCCCGCTGCGGGGATTCGAACCGCCGACCATACGATCGGCAAGTCCTAGGCACTGAGATTTTACCCACAGCGCCACCCGCGTCCCTGTTGGAAGAGTAGATTAGTTGGAAGAGTAGATTTTGGCAAATTTCATTAAAAATAGCTTTAAAAATAAATAAATAGTTGTTGGGTCAACAACTTTGCAAAACACAACAACTCTCTAGATTTTCACTTTTTGAAATATGGCAGTGCTATGCAGTATACGGAAGGGAAGAGAGGGCTCTTATTAAAAAGTGCAATACAAAGATTGTGTGAACGTATGGATCCACCAATTTAAAGCTCGCCAGTTCAAACCGTCTCTCGCCTGGTCAGTGGATTTTTCTATTTAGAACATCATATTGATATTTAGCTGTCGATAACATAAATGTTGATAAGCACAAGAATGTGCCTGCTGTATCAGAGTTTCAATTCCAAGAAAGAACGAAACGTTTTAATGACAGTGACAGTAAATCAGTGACTAGCAAAGGAAACAGAGGCTGCTATACAACACTAACTTAAGTGTTAGCTGCAGGTTTTTGTGTTGTTTTGCTTTTTTAATGAAAGGTTTATTTTGTATTGAACTCTACTGGAATCTTGTATATATGCCAATAAAGGTTTGAGAATGAGAAAATGAGAAAGCAGAGGCTGTGTATAAACCATACATGGTTTCCCCAAAGGAATCCTGGGATCAGAAGTTTACCCCTCGCAAAGCTATGATTCCTGGCACTCTTAGGAAGACCCAAAAAATGTTGAGCTTTTTTAAGACAAACCCCAAAGTTGGTGACCTTTTTCCCCCAAAAACGCCAAAGTCGATTGACTTGCCTAAGGTCCAGGACAAAGCACTGCCATTTAAAAATTCCCTACGGACTTCAATTCACAGACATATGGCAGCCTTATCTTAAGAAACTGGAGTTTCCAGCAGAGCAGGGTGAGATTGCTTATGAGATCTTGAGTGCACAAGAGATCTTTTGAGATTTCAGCGCCCCTGCTTACAACTCAGGTAATGAAGTTTAGGGTGGTATGCCAAAACAGGGCGCAACGCGCCTAGTTCCCAGAGTTCTTTCCAGGAAGTAATGTGCTTTAAATGTATGGCGTGTACACAGCCCAAATGGCAAAAGTCATAACGTCATTCTCTCAAAAGGAGAAAGCAGGTGGTGAGGTTTTTTTCTTCCCCTGTTTATTTTTTCCATCTTAAGCTGATTCTTCAAAAGAAAAAAAAGCACCATAGAACAAAGGCAGAACAGCATGCGCTTTGAGAACAAAGTGTTTCAGGACCCCCTCCCCAAAATATGGTGAAAACAGGAGAAAAATCGACATTTTTAGTGGATATTCAGGTGATTGCCTAAAATTAACTTCTCTTTTTAAAAATGTAAACACAAA